CAATTTATGAGTTTGCCCTGCATAAGCTTTATACAGGGTAAAACAGATTTATCTGGGTTTAGACCCTACTGGGAGTTGGGCATCTGAGTGCTAAAGACAAGCGCGCTACTGCGAGCTGTTTTCAGGTAAACTTGCAGCTTTGGGACAAGTGATTCAGACCCTGGGTCTGTGTCTGGAGCCAAACGGGAGTGTCTGGCTCAGCAAGACAGGGTGCTGGAGTCCTGAGCTGGCAGGGAAAGCAGAAGCAGGGGTAGTCTTTGCACATTGGGTGGCAGCTCCCAAGGGGGTTTCTGTGATCCAACCCGTCACAACCGTTAACCAAGGTAGCTCAGGAGGTCTGGCACGGCCGGGACTGGGGCCTGCTCTGGCACGGCCGGGACTGGTGCCCACTCTGGCCTGGCTGGGGTTGGGGTCCGGCTGGTGCAGCTGGGGCTGGGGTCCCTCTGGCTGGCCGGCCCGATGTGGCTGGGGTTGCTCTACGCTACCGGCGTCCCTCCCGCTAGCACGGCACGGTCGGGGCTGGGGTCCATCCCGCTGGCGCAGGACCGCTGGGGTTAACGATTATGGTCGGTTAACCGGTTAACCTTTTACATCCCAAGTTGATGTTGTACCATCCTCTCCCATACTCTGAGTGGGAGAATTTGGAGGAACTGCTCCAACACAATATTTTCCATCACCCATACTCTTGTTCTTTCCTGCGATTGGAGCCACTGTTAGCAGTGGTCCTTTAGAGTCTAGGCTACCGGCCTAGATCAAACTGAAGCTGAAAATCTCTCTTGCTCACCCTCTGGTGGTGCGTCTTGTTTTAAATGCCAAAAGTGTCTCGGATGGCTACTTTGAGTAGGGAATAGTCCTGCACAGCTGTCATGTGGAGGCTTGAGTATATGGCCTGGGCCATCCCTGTCAAGTATGGGGTGACTAGGATGGCCCAACTCTCCACTGGCCAAAAGACCGCCATGTGTGAGACCCTCTCAAATGTGACCAGGGATGCTTCAAGTCCATCATCTGGTTCCCTTTTTGTCAGTTTCAAGGTGAGGTTTGAAGCAGAGTTGGGGTTAACTGCTCCCA